TCTGTATCCAGGCTTTGGCTTGGGACCACCAGGTAAAACTTGGTTTGTCATATTAATTGCTCAAGAAATTCCATCCTCACCCACCAGGCCTCCGTAAGTGGCTCCAGAACTAATGCCTCGCTGCTATAAATATCTGAGGGTGAGTCAGAAGGTGCGTAGGCCATGTGTGCCTGAACCAACTTGTGAGAGAGCAAAGCTTTCTGTCTTCCGGAAAACTCGTAGAAAATGGTGGCGTGATTTCCCAAAGCCATCATCTTCCTTCATTTTATGGTGTACTTCTGTTGGAATACTTTGTTTTCGGTAATTTTTAGTAAAACATAAGAACAGGAAAATAAAATTATTTTAACAAATATTAGATGCCGCTAACAGATCGGGTGGTGTCAGCCCAGCAATGCGATGGTGTAAATTTAAAAATGCTTTATCAGCACTGCCTGGGGCTCAGAACTACATTGCCACCCTAAAGACATCTGTGCTTATTCCAGAATGCCCTCAGATGCAGCTGTTGTGTGGCTACACACCCGTTGTCCGGAGTTTCTGTATTTCCGTGCCAAGCCTTTAGCTGTGGAACCAACCTAACTGGCAAAACAGGAATGTAGCAAATGATCCCTGTGATATGAGTCATATTAACTATTTATATGGCAGAGGTGGCTGAGGTGATACAGGAAGCGCAGGCACGAGGGGCCCTGCTGGAACAAGTCCTATTGAATTAGGTAGACAAACAGAATGTGTAATCTACAACCTGCTCTCAAAGTTCTAAGTTTTTGATTATAATCAAGTCAAACCTTAAAAACTGTCTTGGCTTTAGAGTGACTCCATCAATGCTGCTAGAGTTAGAAAATAACAGATAAAAACCTGAGCCATTGAGGAAGATACATTTTCCTCCTGGAGGAACTAGTAGCTTTGTTCTCTTTTGGGGAAAAAAGAAGTTTTACTTTTCAGTTTAACTCCTCAGGGGACATTCATCCTATCTTTAGCCAGATTCAGCTATTAACATAAAAAAAGAACCAATCAGGGAGACCCATCTTTGTTGTTTTACCAAACTTTACCGTATTAGAAGATATTAGACCTGGAAATCACAAGCACGAAGCTTTCTTAGCATAATTCATTTGCGAGATTTCTGACAGTGTTGGCAAGTTGAGTTGTCTTTTAGGGATTGGCATTAGCCTGTTAATGTCATCACATTAATAAACCACCTGAAAGCAAACTTGTGAAAAATTATTCGCTCTGCTAGATGTCAAATATCAATGTGAATTATGGTGATTTTCTTTAGAGAGCATCAGATAGCTCCACTCAGTGACTCAACAATATTTATTGAGCCTCTGCTGTGCAGCAGGCTAAATACTCGGGATACAAAAATGAGAAAGACATAGTCCCTGCCCTCAGTATGGTTTCAGTCTAGATGTGTGTGTAGAGGAGGCAGACACAAACAGATCATTATCGTACGCTCCCGTAAGTGCAAGATTATTAAAACACTGAGAGCTGAAGCTCAAAGAAAACTTGCTCTTTCTAACTAAATGCCATGGTATAATTTTAAGCAGCTAAAACCCCGTTTTACTTAGACCAGTTGTCCCTTTGTAAGAAAACTGACACATGAAGTGTTTGGCTCATGTGTCAGCTGTCTGTGAACCTTAGCCATTGTGCGCCTTGATTGTCCAAAAGCCCCTGTGGATCAGGGGCCTGTTGACTGGAGCTCACTCACAGGCTCATCCTCAGAGTTGTGACCACTCCTTGAGGTTGCATACAGCCTGGGGCACTGGAGTCATTTTCTGTTTCCTTGAAGAGATCTTCACTAAAGAAGAGGATTTATGCTAAGCCAAGTATTTTCATAAAGTATCATTTCCCTCCTGCTTTCTTTTATAACGGGTTCATAAACTTTTTTTGTAAAGGGCCAGATGGTAAATACTTTCGGCTTTGCAGGCCATACATTCCCTGTTTCATCTGCTCAACTCTGCCACTGTAGCAGGAAAGCAGCCACAGACAACACATAAACAAATGGGCATGGCTGTGTTCCAGTAAAACTTTATTTGCAAAGCCAGGAGGTGGCCCAGATTTGGCCTGCAGGCGATAGTTTGCTGACCCCTGGCCTACAAGCAACATTTTTTTCAGTGTTGATGAACATTTCAAATTTACTGAAGGGTAGGCTGTAAGGAGTAAGGAGCATTAAACTCGGTGTCAGGAATCCTCCTCTGCACCTTTCATTTGATGCAAGTCAGTCACTTGCCTCAGCTCAGTCCTTCTCCTCAATAAAATAAGGGGATGGACAAAATGACTTTTAAGATGCCTTTGACTGGCGTTCTCTGTTTCTGGAGAGACACAGGGTCTGCTGGGGAAATGCACCATTGATAGGAAATGTAGGGAGATATTTTGCATCCACAGGGATCTGAGTAAGCTGGGGCCACGGACTAAGTCTCACAGAGTGAAATTTAGGAGGGAAATTCTAGCACTTAGGTTTTTAAAAGATCCAGCCACATGCAGACAGGATCGGAGAGTCCCCGGTTAAAGGAGCCTGGGTGAAAGATTTGAGCGGATGTCCAGCTCATTACGAGTCAACGAAGTGGCTGCCCCAGGAGGCAGGATCATTTTAAGCTGCACTGGTGGAGAGAAGTGCCCAGGGGGAGAGAGCAGCAGCCCTTTTGAGTATGGTCATCAATGTGGGACACCACCCCTTGGGTCAGACTTTGACCCCTGGGAGTGCCCAGCGCAGAGGGACCAGGGTGGCCAGGGAATTCCCAACCTTGCCTTGAGAGGAGCTTGAAAGCATGGCCATGTTCAGGCGTGGAGAAGGGGGCAGGAGGGCAGAGACCAGGGCTACAGAAACTGCTGAACTTAGAGTTTCTACAGAAAAGGACTTTTGGGAAATTTTTGTCTTTAGCATCTAGATTAGTACCCAAAACATAATAGGCACTCAAATCTTTGTTGAAAGAAAGCCTGTAAGTATGTGAAGAACGTTCAAGTGGAAAAAGTATTCTGCTTATTCTTGGCGTCAGGGACCCGACCTCGGACCGTGGGAGGAAGCCCCAGGAAGCGGCCTCGGCCCCCGCATGAGGAGGGCTAGTTCATCCTTGCACCTGGGATGCGCCCGGAGCGCGGCTTTGGGAGTCCCCAGGGCAATCCGAGCATAGTCCCACTGACCCTGGGGGCCACCTGGCAGCCACTTTATGTTCAGCTGCCCCAGAGGGCAGTTCCATCACGTCACCTTAAGGCCTGTTTGACCCTGAGAGTCAGCTAGGTTTGCATTTTTCTGCACACATAGGTTTCCTGTCAGTCTACACTTGTATCTCCCAAAGTGCAGTGTAGACTGGTGCTGTGTCAGATGATTTTAGCTATTACATAGACTGACATTTTTTATTTTAATATTTATGCATTTCTTTTAATGTGTATTAGGAAAAAATTAAGCTAACATTATAATCTCATAAATATTGTGTAAGACAAAGACAAGCAAGTACCTTTAAAGCTGATTTCATGTTTAAAGTTGATTTCATGAAAAATATTAAATAAATAACAGTACATATATGTTCAGATATGGTGAAAATCGAGAAAGTGGTATGTGAATAGCTGAAGTGTGTGCTAAGTAAATTCTGTTAAATTCTCAACTAAGACATATAAAAAACCATTTTTTCTTCCTAGTATCCCAACTCCCTATTCCACCTATCATAGCATCCTTTTCTCTATCACGCAGTCCAATCACTAGACAAGATCAGATAATTTCTTTTTTTTTGGCATTAAAAAAATGCAGTAATGCCCACAGAGTAAATTCCATAAGAGAGAAAAGAAATAGAGTGAACCAAAGAAGTCTTATAAAATCCTACCACCGCGACTCGTCCATTGCTTTCATTCCTCCTTTTGTTTTTGAACGCACATGTAAACTTTTTATCACAGAGTAGATGTCCTTTAGATTTTTCATTTTAAATTTAGCCTAGCAAATGGCTCTTTGGCAGACCCCCGTTTCCTGCATTTTTTGCTCTCACCATTGTTGACCACTTGTCGTTCCTCAAACCTAACACAGTCTTTTCTCACACTTCACTTTGACCCTGATGTCTTCATAAGTAAAATGGAATTTACACCGTAGTTCAGGTGCTAGAGTTTCAGCCTCTTCTCCAAATACCTTCCTTAGGAAGCTTTAGGCGCCCTCATTTTTCTTGTCTATAATTTTCCTTGGTGTTTTATAATTTAAAGTTTTCACTTGAACCCTATCATTCCATTTTTTTGCCTCTGATCTCCCTAGGGGGCCTTGTATTTGTAATATCCTCTCACCAATTCACTAAAGACGCTTTCTTCCCCCATTTAAAAATGTTTCAGAAATCCAGGAGGACTAATATCCCATGGATGTAGGTGGCTGATGCCCTCTGGTTTTACCGTGTTTAATTAAAGCCTTCCCACTGTAGTTCCTTTCCCCATAACCTCGCTCCAGACATTTAAAATATTTACCTTTGGGGCTGGTCCTGTGGCCTAGTGGTTAAGTTCACACACTCTGCTTCGGCGGCCCAGGGTTTCGCTGGTTCGAATCCTGGGCTCGGACATGGCCCCGCTCATCAAGCCATGCTGAGGCTGCATCCCACATGCCACAACTAGAAGGACCCACAACTAAAATATACAACTCCATACCGGGGGGCTTTGGAGAGAGGGAAAAAAAATAGATTGGCAACAGTTGTTAGCTCAGGTGCCCATCTTTAAAATAAATAAATAAATAAAATATTTACCTTTTTATACATATTTATGCAATCAAATTTATTCCCACGCTGCCTGTTTTATCTGTTATCTGATGTGTAGCTTTAGTTTGGGATATACTCCACGTAAATGTCCGTTTCGCTATTCTGGGCCAAGACATGGAGGAGATCAGGAATCATGATCACTCGATCGCTTGATTTGTTTTGGACAGTCCTGGTATGTGGACAATTAGACTTGTAATGAGTGTTCTATAGAAAGTTGAGCTCTGTAGAAAATGTGCCCAGTATATAGAAAAAAAAATAACCAGTTGCACTTTCTGTGGATTTTTAAAGGTTGGATTACAGTGGACCTTCCAGAGAGTTTTTCTTCCTGGTGTCCAGAGAGCTCTTTAACCCATATTATGGCTTATTTGAATATTCAGCCAATGACACGTACACAGTACAAATAAGTCCCATGTCTGCTTTTGTAGACAATCACCATGAATGGTAAGTATTTTTCCCCCAACGCTTTTCTTCAGTTGGTTTTCTGTGATATTAGTTTTTATAGCAACTCACATTTCTTTTAACATTTTTTTCATGGAGAAAATCATATTTTCAGTTAAATACCTCACTGGGCTCTTGTTTTTGTTGTCAACCTTAAATATACAGGCAGTCTTCAGGCTAGGAATAGATTATGTTCCATAAGACCAATTTTAAGTGAGCTGGGTAGCATTCAAAAGGTTTTTCCCATTGAAAGAAAGTTACAGATGATGATGGGTTCCTGGTGAGATGCCTACATCCTTCTCGTCACCTTTGGGCATCTCTGAGCCCTGAGGTAGAGGTGTGGGGGTGAGTAGGGGAAAGTCCTGACCCAGAGGTCAGGCAGCTTCCAGAGTAGCCCTTGGGGAAGTGGCCAACACTGGGGGGAGGGGCAGAGCAGCTGGGACTCCGGCTGAGGAGATGATGGTGTTCTCCCTCCCTTGTGAGAGGGAGGAAGGAGGGGGTGACCTGGGGGAACTGATGCTGAGAGGGAACCCTGGCCGAAGGGCGGGAGTGCAGAGTCACAGCAGTGGCCACCTACCCTGTTGGCCATTTGAAGTTTGTAGCCAGGGATTGCTGTTTTCCTAATTTCTCACACAAAATCAAGGAAAACTGGTATTGGATTCCCATCTGAGGATTATTTATTCTGAAAATCCCAAATTGCACTCTTCCCAAATGTCCTTAAATTTTTTAAAAATCCCTGCATTTATAGACTTTAAATGTTTTTATAACCCCTGTTTGCTTGTTCCTGTTCATTTTCACTGACAATAACAAAAAAAAGAACATGAGTAGGACTCATGGAAAAAGTTTCTTTGAGTCACGAGGTTATATTGGTGGGTGGAGGGCATTCACTTTTAGGGCTTATTCTTCAAATTAACTTCCGTTCTGCTACAATTTGGAGGTCCTCCGAACTGTAGCTATTGCAGTTATGCTAAGAAAAGTGGAAATAAAGAGAAACAAAGCTGCAGGACATTAATCTTGAATTGCCTGCCTAATACTAAAATTACGATTGGGCGGTGTGAACCTCAGTGTGGATTTACCCTTTTGGAAGGCTTCAGGCTTTCAAAGAGTTAGAAACTTGAATACTTTTGAAAGAGAAAATAAGTGTACATCTCAGTCAGCAAAGCCAGTCGTGACAGATGTATTTAATAAAGTTTCCCAGGTGATTCAGAATAGAATTGAGCCTTGAAATTTTAGAGAACCGAATGTCCCATGAGGAAACCCCCCCAAATGTCCACATGCATAATTCTTGGATGGTGACCGTTACCATCAGGAGGGAGGTTTGAGAGAGAATAGGGACAGAAACTTTCTTATTCTCAGATTGGGCTTTTCCTCAAAAGGGAATTGCTAGTGGGTTTGTGTTAGAGAAAGCCTGCTAAGATTCCTGCAAGCAAACTAGAAGGGACAGCACTTCTGTCAACATCTCTCAGAAGTGGTTTGGGGGAATTTCTCAGACATGCTAACAGGGAATTCATGTTGGCCATGGGGGTGCTACATGGTGGACATTATTAACTGGGGTGAAGGTGGAGCGGTATCTAAGTATCAGAGTGGAACAGATTTTTTCAAGAAGTAGATGTGAATATTGGCCTAATGAAGACACAGCCTACACTGCATACAAACTCTCAGGGACCTGGTAGGAATTAATCTTGGATACACTTAGATGGTGAGAGCTGGAAGGCATTCTAGAAAGCAAATAGAACCGTTTGGAAACTGCTCCGTGACGTGTAAGCTTTCTCGTGCTTTTCCTCCACAGGTTCCGGTTCAGTGGCAGGATTCTTGGTCTTGCACTAATACACCAGTATTTGTTGGATGCCTTCTTCACTCGGCCCTTTTATAAGGCTCTTCTCAGAATGTAAGAGTATTTTTATTGCTTGTGTAATTAGCATGTAAGCGTGAAATATTTCCTTTATTGAGAATGGTCTTTTGTCAGTGTCATTTATCTGCTCACTGTCTCAAGTATGTTGTTATTAAACTTAATAGCGGTTTAGATTTCTGGAACGAATACAATTTCAAATATGGCTACTGTGTTTCTCCTGCTTCTGATCTTTTATTCCTGTCTCATCCGCAAAGTCTTGTTCCACTAGGAATAATTTATTCTCATTTATTGCAACACATGTTTCTTCAAAACAATTGTACTTCAAATACAGCACTGGAATTCCTGTGGTATTAATGCCAATTATTAATAGAATAGTTGTGGGTTAGTCTTGGTGACTCACAGCCCCCTTTTCTTTATGAGATACATTTTATATCTTGCTTTATGCAAACTTTCAGCTGCTTACTCTTGGTTCAAATTTTCATTCTCCTTTGTTTTGTTTTTGTCTTTTGTTTGTTTGTTTGTTACATGTGGGCAGTCCCGTGTTTTTCTTGAGACCTCCCTATATGCAAGACAATTATTTATGAAAATTTGGCATTCACACAACTTTGTCTTCATTGTTATCACAGGGAAAGGTTGTAAGTATTGTAAAACGTGGAGCAAACAGTTTCTGTCCTGTAATCAGTAGTCACTTACAAGGCTGAGCAAGAGGAAGGCAACTGTCTGTGGGGGTTGGTAGCTCAAACTTGCAAGGAGAAAGCACAGAATGATTGCTTGGTTCTGTCCAGCTCATTCCCTAACCAAGGCCATGTACCCACGTTCTGTAAAATGGGAGCCCAGACTGCACATGAAAACCAAGCATTTCTAATGGGCTCTGAAGAGGATCCGTAGGAAGACTTTTGCCATCCTTCGTTTTGGGATCTGGGCAGGTGAAGTCCTGGGCAACTGGGCACTGGCCGTCTGCCTTTCCGGTTCTCCTGGGCCCATTTTGTATCTTCCCATTTCATTGCCTTCTGTCTTATCTTCTTTAAGCTTCCTGAAAGAGTAGTCTATACCAACTGTTGACACACCTTGAGCACACTTTAGCCTGGCTTCTTTCCCACCAGTAACCTATGGAAGCTTTTAAAGAATATTTTTCAGTCCTAATCTTAATGGACTATTCTGTTGCTTTTTATACTGCTGACACCCCAACTGCCATCCACTTATCTTGAGTCTTTCCTCCACTGGCATCCATGACACTGAGCTCTCCCAGTTCTCCTGTTACTTTTATGTCTCTTTTGTGGGCTTCTCCTCTGTCTTGCCCTTACACCTCCGTGTTCCGGAAGCTTCCATTCTTGGCCCCCTGCTTTTCTTTCTCTTTATGCTTTCGTGGGGAAATCTCTTCACCTGTCTCGTCTCCTAGTGACTCTCAAACCTGCTCCCTCAGTCTTGATCTCCCTGGAGTTGTAGGCTCACGTGGTCAACATTCCACTGAAGATCTCCCCTTGCGTGTCTCACAGGCACCTCAAAATCAACGTGGTTGAAACAAGTCGTCCATTTCTCCTGACCTAAAAATGTTCCTCCTCCCACGTGCCCAGTCACAGTTCTCAAGTCGCTCTGGTCAGAAATCAGGAGTCACCCTCAAACAGGGATATGTATTTACATACACATGTTCTGCTCTTCCCCACCTCCCCCCATTCCTGTGGTATAGCTCACTCCAAGTCATTTATGGTACGTTTTCCTGCTTAATTCCTTGTGGCCTCAGGAATTTTTTTCAACTTATAGCCCTCGGGACTGGCTTGCAATATGAGTTCATTTGCCATCCCTATTTTAGATATTCCTCTTTATAACACCAAAAAACTATTTACTAATTTGCACGTTTGCCTCCTAAATAATTCGTAAGTCATCTTCTCCCCTCCACCCTTAATAGCTGTGCTCTCATTAAAACTCTTACCTTATTTTGGCCAGATTACTGTAGTGGTCTATTTGTTGGTCCCCACCCTCTAATGATAACCCAGCCTCCCCCATCTTAAGTAATCCTCTACACAGTGACTTCCAGAGAAACAATTTAAAGTCGCATCTCGCATCTGGTCAGGTCATTCCCTGTCTTGAAACCTTTCAGTAGTTCTGCATCACCAAGCTCCTTAGAATGGCATTCAAGGCCTGCTGCCAGCTTCCTTCCCAGTCTCTTCTCTGGACATTCTGCCTTGTGGTTGCCTCTCTGGTCCTGCCCATGTGTTTGGAGTGTCCTGCACACTCTAACCTCTGTGCTTTGTTCATGTCGTCTCTCCTTTTCCCTTCTCTTTTTCTCTTTCTCTTCCTTTTCATCCATTCCCCTTTACCTCTCTAGCTTTGAAACATCCTGCAAAATTTAACGTAGGTATGATCTACTCCCAAAAGCTTTTCCTGAATCTCCAGGTCAAAGTAAACGTTCCCCATGTTTGCCGTGAGAGCTCCCTTTATCTACCATATCTTTTTTTTTTTTAATTGGAGTGTAAAAAAGTGCACAAATTCTCTGTGGCCCACCCTAGGCTATCACTTATCACCTTATATTAACTTATCTATTTGTATGCCTGTCTCCCCCGCTAGACCATTAGCTCCTTGAAGGCAGTAACAGTTTATTAAGTAGCTATTAAGATGCCTGGTACATACTTGATGCCTAATAAATGTTTAGACTGAACCAAACAAAATTACCTTGAAAACTGGGCGAATGAGAGGAAATTTCAAAACAACTAAAGCAAATCAATTACTACCTCCTTACAACAGGGCCATATAATAGTAACTCCACCTCATGAAAATCCTTGCTCAACAATGAAAAAAGAGGAGAGAAATATAGAGAAGCCTTATAATCGTGGAGAGATTCTGTGGCTTGCTATTTTCAGAATCACGGAAAGAGTAAGAACCATGAAGAAAAAGGAGATGGATGTGAACGTGGACCACAGAATCTAGTCTTTGGGGAAAAAAACAAAGTTAAAGTACAGTATAGAAACATACAAAGAATTCTAATTAGGAGGACAATATTCTAAAGTAGTATAACAGAGTCAAAGGAATACTACACCCAAGTTGTCAACCTGAGTTCCACTTCCTGCTCTGGCGTTAATCGTGGCTGACTATGCACATGGCAGCCACTCTTTGTACCTCCGGTTCTCTGTCTGTAAAAGAAAGGACAGACTGAGTGATTCCTAAGGCCTTTCTTATACCCAGGATTATTAAATTTTATATCACGTGTCTGAATTATTTCGTTGGTTTGGTTGGTGAATTTGACTAAGAACATTCCATAAATCACTGCCTATTCAGTTGATCTTGTTCTTGTCTTGAATTCTTAGTTTCTTTTCTCATAATTCTGGGTTTTTGCTTACAGCCATGCCTACATATTTGTTTCTATCTGTTTGTCATCTTAGCCTGTGTGACCTGAGTGATCTAGAATACCTTGATGAGGAGTTCCACCAGAGCCTGCAGTGGATGAAAGACAATGATATCCACGACATCCTGGACCTCACATTCACTGTGAATGAAGAAGTTTTCGGGCAGGTCTGTGTGTGTGTGAATAACTGGTGACTAAGTGTGTTAATTGAAGCCTATTGGTTGGTGAAAAATTAATTCAGTGGCTAAGATCAGATGCTTATTTTTTTGTGGCTTGTTGGGTGATTTAAACCCAGGTTTATGTCTGGTTACAATAATCTTGGCTACAAAGGTTATTCTAATACCAACTGCAGATTAAGATGTTCTAATTTACAGATTATGATAACTATTTGTATGTTCTAAGCAATATTCATTTTATATCCAACTAAAATATTCACGTAAGATATTAGAAGGTGCTTTGTATAAAATAGAGTTTTTAAAAGTCCATACTACCCCAGAGTTGAATATTAAATTATTTAATTGGCGTTTGTGCTTTACTCTCATTCATATTTAAGAACTGAAATTGTTTTGAAGCTGAGGGAAAGTAAACAATATTTTGTTAAAGGTCTGAAAACATACTGGTTTTTTTCAAAGTTGGTAGAAGGATTGGTTAAAAGATTTCTTTCAGAAGTTCTGTACTAGTTCATATGTAATATTCTTATTTAGACATTAATATTTGGCTGGTCTTCTGAATCTCGTGTTTTGGAAGAGTTCTCAATTTAACATTCGCTTGAATGTAATTCTGCTTCCTTAAAGTAAATCTTTACTGAAATATTGGCTTCTGTATGTAGTTGATTCTGAAGCCTAGAGGAATTTGTGAAAATGTGTTTTTGTCAAACATTCAAAGAACAGTGGGCCAGAATCTGGAGCCAATTTCTTTTCTTTTAAAAGACTTATTTGTTTGGTTGCGATTGAAAACTTAACCTTCAGCACTTGCAATATATATAGTTTTAACACTGAGGCTTTCAGACATCAGTTCAATGTCTGCTTTTTCCTGAGCGTCGGCGTGTGCCTGGGCTCCATGCTGGCGCTTGCCCCTGTTTGTGGGATGTGTCCGGGCCAGGACATGGCCAGGTAGCCGACCCATTTCGGCTCACTGGTAGCAGTGTTCTTATAACATCGAGAGTATTGCTTTGTGGTCAGCCCTTTTGTTTTTTAATCTCAGATTACTGAGCGAGAATTAAAACCAGGAGGTGCCAATATCCCGGTCACAGAGAAGAACAAGAAGGAGTACATCGAGAGGATGGTGAAGTGGAGGATTGAGAGGGGCGTGGTGCAACAAACGGAGAGCTTAGTGCGCGGCTTCTACGAGGTGCAGACAGGAGTGGGGTTTTGCAGTCTGATATCAGTGATACCACTGTCCATCTTACTGTACTTTCTATGTGTGCAATATTTTCATTTTTCTTATCCTGTGTTTATCCTATCTCTTTCAATTTAAAAACTCCAGTATTTTATCCTGTATGTTTTAAGAACACCAAAAAAGTTCAATGCCCTGTTACAAGAGATCGCTGAAATAAAATGACCTGAATTCAAGTAGCATTTGAGGATTTAATGACCACTAATAACATGTAGGTCATGCATCTTGCTCATGCTTAGATACGGGTAATCACATCTCATGCTTGATATGTGAAATGATCGTATCTGTGGGTCAGGATGAATTGTTGCAAGGGTTCCATGTGACTTCTTCTGTAGGAGCACTAGATCTATTTCAAAAGATAGAAAGAGACAGGATTAATCCGTGCTCAATTATAAAACAAAATTCTGTTGAGAAAAATCTCATCAACCTCATACTAAAAATACCTTCCATTAGTAGAGCGCTTCCCGGTCTTTAAAGTGCCCACAGGAAGTACATCCAGAGTGTCGCCAGACCTCCTTGTGCACTCCTTCTCTGGTGAGGCTTAATCGGAGCTGAGATTTCTCCAGGTTCTTAAGCCGTGCCCTGTCCTCTTTTTATTCCACAGGTGGTGGACGCCAGGCTGGTATCTGTTTTTGATGCGAGAGAACTAGAACTGGTCATCGCGGGCACAGCAGAAATAGACCTAAGTGACTGGAGAAACAACACAGAATACAGAGGAGGTGAAATTTGATTTATAGATGGCTGGATTAAAGGGAGGCCAGTGGGTCAGCATGCTGGTCTGCATGCAGGACAGGAAGAAGCGTTTACGCTCTGATCGTAGGTCTGATGCCGTCTCCTTTGAGACCTCAGGCAAGGTACATTCCTTCTCTTCCTACTTACCTCATCTGTCAAGTGGAGGAAGGACTGTTTACACACCATCTGAGGATGTCATACCTCTTTAATTGCTGGTGAAGAAATGTGACCTTAAGAACACTAATTAATTGTTTTATGGTGCTGTCAGTGAAGCACCAAGGAGCTCACATGCAGCTGGTCAAACTCCACCTATTCTACCTTATTCTACCTTGAAGAGGCACACCCGCTGAGCTTCCTGAGGAGCAGACACAGTTTTTCTGCATTTCACTGAACTATTTACCTGTTGTAATTCACAGTTGAAACACATGAATGGAAAAAGACACGATTCTCAAAATTCAAGTGTATTGAACAAACCCTTCTAAATTCAAGCATTAAGCTTGACCGAAAAGGAAATGGCTGTAAGATTAGTTGCAAACTGCACTATAGGACGCTTCACCACATGGGAAGCTTTAGAAGTGGCATTTCTGTAGGTCAGTACAAATTTTCAATTAGTAATTGGGATCGAAGCCAATAAAATTTGATGGATGAATTAATACACTTAGAAAGAAACCTGATGGTAACCCAGAGTTAAAGCTTTAGCCAATAATTTTTAGGAAAGAAAGAATACATTTTCTGAAATGTATTGCAGTGTTATAAACTCTTCAGGGAGTCATGGCAGTTAAGGTGTTTTCTGTTTGGTTTTTTAACTCAATGTGTAAGAGGTTAGCAGTGGTTCTGAACTTGGAGAGTGAAAAATACAAATGTTAAGTCACTGAATTAATCACTTAGCACAATAAACTGAGAGTTGAACACTTCTCCAGTTATTTGTAAACTGAAACGGATTTTTTAAAAAACAGTTTTAAAAGTTTGAAGTAAAAAAATACCTTAACATTTGCTAAATTGCTTCTGTTTTTGCCCATGCCTGGCTCTTCCAGCTCATCACTGTTGCCACGGCTGGCCTTGCTCAGCCATTTTCTCTGAAAGGTGATATTAAATTGCAGTTTCCATTATTAAATGGCAGTTTCCATTGCTGCTAATTCTGAAGTCCAGTTGCTGTAATGTCTTTTCCAATTGGTTCCATGTATAATCCATATATGGCCTGGTTTTTATAACTTTGTTAACCAAATTGTTTTCACAAACTAGAACACAATTTCTCCAGCATGCTACATAACTTACATCTTACCATCAATATTATTAGCTTATACCTTCCCCCGAGGAGATTCTAATAGCAATACCATTAATCAAATCAGCCATTTTTGTATTTACACAGTATAAACTTTTATTCACTGTATATGACTAACCAAGTGCCTATTTCCGTGGTTATTGTAAATTGTATCAAATGAAATCCTCGGGAGGAGACCTCTGGGGGGAGGGCACAGGAAAAGGGCGAGACACCCAGCTGCCATGTTTGCTAAACCCAACTATTGGCACTGAATGAAGGGGCGGCTCTGGTGCCACTTGCCATATGTTCATAGAGCAGCTGTTTATAGAGAATAGATGTGACACATTCACTCCTCCTCCTCCAAAAGGTTTGGCACAAACAGCAAAGGAGAGGCAGAAAAGGGCCGATTCGTAAGTTCAGAAAACTTGAAAGCTATAAAGAGCTAACGTACTTATTTCATAAATAAGGAAGCTGTTTGCTCAGCACCAAATGGCCAGTCTTTGCCAAAGGCGGGACATGGAGCTTCTGCATCACCGTGTCCAGGCTAGCCTTACTTACCCTTTACTTGGATCCCTTTCTTCTCCAAAGGGCACTAACCATCCCTGATCACATGGTGACCAGTAAGGCAGGATTCCCCCCAAATCCTTCAGCCACTGAAACATGTGAGAAAAAATTTGAATTAAAATAATTTCTACCCACCTTCTATTTTGGACTTACTTCTATTGACTCAGAATTAGAGTAGCTTCATGCACATCGAATATGTCAATTAATTGGCTTGAAACCTTAATTATACCTTAATCCTTGCCAGCCTTCTCTCATCTTGATTTTTCTTCATTGAAAGGTTTTGGAATTCACAACTACTGCCTAATCCACCAGTAGGATAATACTGTCAAGATTTTATTAAATGTTACTAAAGCATAGGATAAAATCACATCTAGGTTGATGATTATTTGGGGTTTATTAGTTGAAGGAATTAAAGTAATAAAATTACTTTTCCCTTTTTATTAATAAAATAATCTGACTTTAAAATATGAACATTCTGTGTTGTTTTAAAATAGATTGCAATTATGTATTTATTTGTATAATTGTTTGGTTAATGTGTCTCTGCTTTACCAGAAACCCTGTGAGGGTCTATTTTCTTTGCCGTTGTACCCTCAAGCTGAGCGCAGTGCTTAGCATAGTGGTACTCAAAAGTTATTTCTTAAATGAATGAGTGAAAGAGTTAAGCATTTCTAGTAACAGCGATTATGTTTTTCAGAAATGATATGGTTAAAATAACTCATTTGTTGTTCTTCTCTCCACGAGTCTCATTTACTGACCACTGCATGGAAACAGAGACCTCTTGGTTTCATTTACTGTTGTTTTTGTTTGACTTTTGACACATATGATCCTCTTTACAGTGTTATTCATTAGTCTTAAATTATAAACAACCTTTAAAGAATCTAAGATGATGATTTATGTCTGGGGATCTTTTGTCAGCACGTCATGGTGGCTTAAGATAGAAAAGTCAAAGTAATATGGCCTTTCATGATTGGTTTGTAGGATATCATGACAATCATATTGTAATTCGGTGGTTCTGGGCTGCAGTGGAAAGATTCAACAACGAACAGCGACTACGATTGTTACAGGTAAGATGCCATTAGTAATCTTTTTAATGCATTAATATAATTATTGTTGGAACTGCATATTTTTAGTAATTGCTAAATATACTCAATAAATACATCCCATGTTTATCTGCAAATGTGGTATATACTGTTTCCAGACTCTTCTGATTGCATGGTTCTGTGGCTTCATCACTATGCAGAACATCCCCAACCAAGCCCAAGCATTTCCTTAGAGTTGTGAGGAAGTACCAACTCCAGTCCAAGAATCCCAGGAACAACGTCTGCTTTCAGGGCAGTTGGGTCCCTTCAACAAGAGGTCCCAAGGTCTCTGCAGGCCAGCATCCCTAGCAACAGAAAGAGATGGTCTTCAATCTCATGAGAAGTGACCCAGCTCCTTGATAAAGAATCCTATCTTTTCCTCCATCCAGCTTTCCGCAAATTTGAGATAACAGTGAAGTTCAAGAACACTGTGAAAACTAACTCGTTATTTTCTTGCTGTGTTTCTGGTCACCCAGGGCAATTGCTGGTCCGTTGCAGCTAAAAAATTATCAGACATGAGGAAGCCTTCTGGAGGTTCAAGCAGAGCCTTACAAGTAGACCAGGCTTAACTCCTTTAGATCAAGAATCTGGCCCTCAAATTTGCAGGCCCATAAATTCTTTTCTTTTTTTAATTCACCTTGAGTTGATGGGGGATGGATGCTAGGTAGACTTAGATTAATTGATATATCCACTTTATTAATCTATAATGAGAAATATACATGGTTTAAGCTTCAGAGCTGTCAGCTATACAGGGTGCTCTATCTTCTACAAACTCTCCCCTTCCCCTTTCCCTTTATGATGCACAATCCTTCCTTGGTATTCTCCGGCTCTTTGTCAGAATTCTCGTGTTATGGTTATTCCACATCCATAAGTTTGGTCTTCCGAGCTTTCCCTCCCACGAGCAGCGTGCTGCTCCTCCCCGGGAGCACTGCGCATGGATGACACCGTGCTGTTGTTGGCAGCTGGTCTCCTGGCTTCACCTTCTCCTTCTGTTCTCTTGGGTCGATAGTTTGTCACAGGCACCTCCAGCATTCCCTATGAAGGATTTGCTTCTCTCCGAGGGAGTAACGGCCCAAGAAGATTCTGTGTGGAGAAATGGGGGAAAATCACCGCCCTTCCCAGGTAAAATAGAGAACGTTGCTTTACTGTCACTACAGCGTTCTAGCGGAAACCTTTAACTTTCGTAGATATTGAGTAACTACTGTTTTTATGTTAAAAGTTTGGGAGGGTGGAAAAAGCTTTTAGAATGAATTTATCTCTGATTACCTTTCTAAATGAGAGGGAAAAAAAAAAATGATCTTCCTGGTCATGCTTAAAATACATACATACATATCTTAAAATACAAAATGCAACACAACCAAAGCATTTGTGAGCTTTAGTAAAGCGATGTTGGTCCTCATACTTGTGGCTTCTTATGATTGTGGCTCTAATCTAGATGTTTCCAGAAGCTCTAGTTTTAAGTTTATGTTAATAGATACTTAGAATCCCTTCACTAAAAATTACTCTTCTAAAGAATATCAAATCGTGTGAGTGCTCTCTGCATTGTATTCTCATTCATAATAAGATGATCCATTTCCCTGGAGTGGAAGAAAATTGCTCTACTGCTGCCACTAATAAATGTAAGAGTCTGGTAAGGTAGTATTTGTGAATAAAAAAGTGTTTGGGGGGGCTGGCCCCGTGGCCGAGTGGTTAAGTTCGCGCGCTCCGCTGCAGGCGGCCCAGTGTTTCGTTGGTTCGAATCCTGGGCGCGGACATGGCACTGCTCATCAAGCCACGCTGAGGCAGCGTCCCACATGCCACAACTAGAAGAACCCACAACGAAGAATACACAACTATGTACCGGGGGGCTTTGGGGAGAAAAAGGAAAAAATAAAAAAAAAAAAAAAAAAAAAAAAGTGTTTGGGGTTGAATGGAGATAACTGGAGCTGAAGCAAAAGAAAAGGAGGGAGCAAATGAGCAAAAGAGGAATGGAGACGAGTTAGTTTTAGAACTCCTTTATCTGATCAGGCGTAATAATATGGAATTTTTGAGGTAAAAAGGACCTCAGGCTGCCTCTTACTTTATTAATAATAAAACTGTAATTTGAAGAGGTTAAATGATCTTCCCGAGTGATGTTAGGTGCCCCAAGATGTCATCCTAAATTTCTCTAAGTACAAATGACTTTTAAAAACCTGTTATCAAGGCTTTCTTCTTGCCAACTGCAAGGCACTAGTTCTTAAGAATTATGTTGTAAGAATCAACACATGAGAAAAAGGATGCTGAGAACAATGGCAAGTGCAAGCTCAGGTAACAGTGTTACCCGGCGCAACTGATGTTCCAAATTTGGGAGACTGTAATTCCATTATTTAAAGAACTAATTTATTTTGTTTAGGCCTGAATCATGTTCTTTTTCCCCTTAAACACACGTTTGTATCTCAAAGCAGATTTACACTGTCTGAGTAAGGCCTTTCACTTTTCTGAGAAACCTAGGGATTTGCATCAAGGAGACAGGAAAGGGCAGAATAACTATGTTACCTTTCTCTCGAAATCTGTTTTTGTAAAGCCCCTGAAGTAGATGGAATAAACTGTAACGATAAGCAGATACGTCACTTGTTCACATTTAATCACTGCTGTTTTCACCAAACCTGGGGAGCAGAGAAAGGCATCTTGGTATAGACGGGGAGCTCGGCCTCAGAGAGGCTGGGCTGTGTCCCAGTTCTGCCACTTACTCGCAGGGGTCCTCGGAGAAGTTACTTAATGTTTCTGAGTCTCCGTTTCCTCCTCTGCCTTGTAGGTTGGTAATTCTGAGGATTAAACAAAATCATTCATGTAAAACATTGGCTGCTCACCCTGGCCCTGAGTAAGCATCCAGTCGATGGCGGCTGCCATTGTGATTTCTGTCACCATCATCTGTAACACATGTCAGGCAGTGGCATTTTGGAAAGAGCTCAGGGTTGGGGGTTAGAAGACCAGGCTTCTAGTCCTGCCTCTGCCACCAGCTAACTCTGAGACCTAGAAGATCACTTGATCTCTAGGCCTCAGTTTCCTCATCTGTAAAAGGCCAAGGACAAGGTGGTATACAATCATGTGTCACTTAACGACAGGGACACGTTCTGAGAAATGCGTCGTTAGGTGATTTCGTTGTTGTGTGAACATCACAGCGTGTAGTTACACAAACCTACATGCTGTAGCCTACCACACACCTGCACCATAGGATACTAACCTTATGGGACCACCATTGTATATGTGGTCCATGGTTGACCAAAAGGTTGTTATGTGGCGCGTAACAGTGTTAGGTTTGGTTGAGCAAGAAGTAGCACTGACAGGTTGTTGAAGAAATTCAGGGGTCGGCTTGGATTCTCTTTTCTACTTCCCCCTGAGAGCTCCCGGAAGTTCACATGCTGACTCATTATAAACGGTGGTGCTCTTCAGCATCGTTGCAGACACGCAGTTGGGCAACAGGTGTTGTTGTTTCTTCCTTTCTTCATGATGACCTAAGGCAGGTTCTAGATTCCTAGTTTTACCCAGATGATAAAATAGCATAAACAAAGATGATAAGAGGCACAAGAGACAAGCAGACTGTTTTCATACCCTGTCTATGTCAAGCCCTAGCTCTTTCGGTCTGAGAGGAGGAGAGACCCTCTTGGCTCTTCCACTCCACAGTCAATTTGCGCATCCTGGTTAAGAGGCCTGAGTGCAGATCTCAGCCTTGTGACACGGCAGCTGTATGATCCTGAGCAGGAGCCTAGATCCACTCTGCAGAGTCGGAGTCACAGTGTCATGCCCAAAGAGTTAGTAAGATGAGGTCTATCAAAGTCCTTAGGGATGGTAGGTTTTCTTTGTTATTTTTAACCTTTTAACCTGAATCTTCTGTAAGCCACCACACCGCTGTAACTATTAGAATGTGCTCCTCAAAACAAATACTTTTAGAGGAAAAAGTAAAAAGAAGAACTTCATTGCATGACCGTATAATTTTATCAGGAGGGATTTCTTCATTGATAATAATGTTGTCATCACCCTTCATGAAATGTGGGCTGTAACTTAAGTGTAAAAAAGATCTGTAAGATTGGCTCTGATCAAAAGAGATTAGTTTACATGACTGAGTCCATTTCGCCTACCATCAGAAAAGATACACTGAAGCCATTTTTCCGGATATTTCCTGACATGTTTACATTGTAGAATTGAAGAGCAGCTCTGTTTCAAGCTGGTCAACCCCAATGTATTTCTTTTTCTTATTAGTGAGATAATACTTAACATTTAAAATGTAACGGTATACATACTGGAGACGAAATGAATACATGTCCTTCTTACTTAAAAAAAGTGTTCTCAATAATGAGGTACAACTGTAATTTCACAAGGATGTTAACTTTTATAACCTTAATAAAAATAAATAAAAATAAAAAAGTGTTCTCAGGGCTGGCCCTGTGGCCTAGCCATTAAGTTCCCGTGCTCCGCTTTGGTGGCCCCGAGGTTCACCGGTTCAGATCCCAGGCACAGACCTAGCACCACTTATCAAGCCATGCTGTGGCCGGCGTCCCACATATAAAATAGAGGAAGATGGGCACAGACAGTAGCTCAGGGCCAATCTTCCTCGGCAAAAAGAGGAGGACTGGTGGCAGATGTTAGTTCAGGACTAATCTTCCTCAAAAAAAAAAAAGGTGTTCTCTAAGAAGTCTGGCATCATCTCGTGTCAGGCATGGGACACTGTACCCTGGAGAGTTGGAAGTGGCTACAAAGCATGAGGGCAAGCAGTCCCTGCAAACGGGAGGGCGTTTTAGTCTTTCTAGACATGGATGATTGAGGGCCTTTCAAACTTTCAAGCAAACATGAGTCTCATCGTTTCTCAGCCTTCCCAGTCTCACTTCACGGTAGCAGTGAATAGCAGTTCTCATAGCGTGGGCCGAGAAGTGTTTTAAAGTGCATATGGTTGTCTCTGAAGCCAGTACCAGTTGAATCCGTGGCTCTTTTACTCTCTCATGGTAATAAAGTAACTAGAGACCCAGATGATAAATCACGACGAAGGCAGACGCGTGTCTCCGTGGCGGCTAACAGCCTGGACACATTAGTGCATTCCCTCTGCTTCCTGGTTGGTACTTAGCTATGTATGTTGCATTTCTGTACAAGATTTCCTGTCCCCCAGTGCTCTGATGGACTTAAGAGACAGTAAATTCACTTTATGGCAATTGCTCTTAAACATTCCACAAAACAGTCTGCTAACATGCCAGCCTGGAAAATGCAGGGCAAATCCTCTCTCCTAGTGTGGGCTAGAGTTTATGTGTTCATCTCGGAGCTTCTTGCCAAGCAGGATGATGGCACAGAGGAGTTTGTAAACTGCAGTCACAATGGGGGAGCATTGATTTGCCAAAGCAGGGAACCAGTAATTTTTGAAAATGGCTGTGTCTGGAGATTATTATGAATGAAATGCTGACCCAAGTTAAGAAATAAGAAGCAAGAGTTAATTATGAATTGGGGGGTCTCAGGGAGAAAGTTTTTCCGATGCAATAAAACTTAAAAAGATAAAATTATTTTTTAAAGATAAAAGATGTTTTTTAATTTTTAAAACTCTGTTTTTTATTTTTATGAAAACGTCACCCAAAATGCCAAGAAATTAAATATATGTATATAATTTATATATCTCAAAAGTCCATTCCTGAGATAACCAGTAAACATTTTGGAGTGTATGCTTCCACTCATTTTTGTACACATAACACACACAAACACACATTTAAAAGCAAAAATGCAATTATACTGCATATACTGTTTTGACCTACTTTTTGTTTACCAAATATAACTAATCACGAACATCTTTCCATGTCATTAAATATTACTCTCCCACGTAGTCAGTAATTCAGTTTCTCCTCTTCTGGTACAGAGAGTGTTGTCCACTGTCAAAGTGGACTGTCAGCTGGGAAATAGGAAGGCACTTGAGGACTGGTACTATATTTTCACTTTCTTTAATGAAAAAAAAATTTTCAGAAAAAGAGATGGGCACTGGATGGACCCCTTGGTGCCATGTCTTTTCCGTATTTGCCTTGAGGCACCCCTCCTGGTCTCCCCAGTTCCCCTCCACCTGCTGGTCAGCTGAGGTGCCTTGTGGTCTGGGAGGGAATTGGCAGAAGATTCTCATACAATAGTCCGCTCCGTAGTTTAATCTCTGATGTAAGGCCCTCTGCACTGCCGCTCAGTTCTCACTGTCTAACAATAATGTTTTAAGTTTTTACTTAATTCTACCATTAAATCAACATGTGCTAACAAAAATATACAAAGTAGTGACTCGTATTATTACCTTATTAAACATCCGTAAATGTGCTGTATCCTTTGGATTGGTCTTTACTTTGGGAAGTGGGTAAAATGATCCTAAAAACATACTGTGTCTAAAAAGGGACTCTTCAGTGATTAAAAGGCAGAGCTACTGAAATGATTTGTGACTATTTAGTGGAATGAAGGGAGGTTTAATTGCTGCCTGCAACAGAGAACAGGATAGTCCAAGTCAAAACGACTAATGGTCCTTGAGAGCTGTTCCACAGTCATGTTTCAGAGGGTATATTTGTGAGCAACAAACAGAACAGCTGTTAAGGCGTGGTTAGCCCCTTTCTTGGCCTCGAGAGCAAGAACTAGCTTGAGTTCATCTCTTCCTGCCACCGCGTCCACTAGACCAGCGCCTCTCCTGGACTATTGCAGCGGCCTGCTGGCTGACGTCCTGCTTCTGTTCGTACATCCCGACACTCAGCAACCAGTGTCGTCCTCTGAAATCGCAAGATCACCTCCCTCCCCTGCTTACACCCTCCAGTGGCTTAGAATAAAATCCAAACTCCTTGCCAAGGAGGGCCGGGTGGGTGGCCTGGTCTGGCCTACCACTCCAGCCTCAACACTTACACTCTCCCCTGCTACAGCCAGCAGCCTCCTCCTGGCTGTTCCTCAAACTTGTCCAACTTAATTCTGCCTCAAGACTCTGGAACTTGCTGCCCGAACTCTCTTCTGCTGGTTTTTCATGTGGCTGGCTCTTTCTCACCCCCAGGACTCAGCTCAGGCACCATCTCCTGGGAAAGGCCCTCCGGGCTTCTACCCCCAGTGCACCTGTCACTCTCCGCACCTTATTTCCTTTAGAGGACTCACCCCAATTCATTCATCTCGTTTAGTTATTGCTTTCCTTGTTGACTATCTCCCCCTCTAGGATATAACCCTATGAGAACAAGGACCTTGTTTGAATTGAATATGGCTTTGCGCCTAGGGCTGTGTCCTCGCACATAATTGGTACTCAGTGAATGTTGTTCTTGGTGAATTCTTAAACCTGAGGTATAACTCTGGATCACTCCAGACAAGATATGCCAAAATCATTTTTTTTTTTTTTGAGGAAGATTAGCCCTGAGCTAACATCTGCCACCAATCGTCCTCTTTTTGCTGAGGGAGATTGGCCCTGAGCTAACATCTGTGCCCCTCTTTCTCTATTTATATGTGGGATGCCTGCTACAGCATGGCTTCATGAGTGGTGTGTGGGTCTGCACCCAGGATCTGAACCACTGAACCCAGGGCTGCCGGAGCTGAGTGCATGAACTTAATGCTGCGCCACCAGGCTGGCTCCCCGAAACCACTTTTGTATCTGTATATCCTCATCTGAATAATTGGGATAGGTACTAGTAATTACATTACAAAGTTGTTTAGAAGATTAAATGAGATAATACATGCAAAGTGCTTAAAACGAGGTCTAACACATCATTCAATAAGTTTAGCATTATTACTGTTGTTCCAAACACCTAGCCTTCAGAGCTGGCGTGATATTCTACAGTCTTTAGATATGGAAGAATTGTGCTATATCCACCCAGGATAGTTATATCTTGTTTGACCTTCCGAGAGTTCTCATCCTGAACTGTTCCTTACTGGGTTTTCTTCTATGGGGTTTAAATCCTTACCTTTAAAAAGCATGTGCTCTTCATCTTTTCCCAGGGCCATCCATGGGGGAAGAAGTTACCGCTTATAATGCATATTTTGAAGAGTTTTTTCTGCTAGTTATCCCTTGATGCAGGAATTCCCACTGTGGTGATGTTCCACACTGTCTTTATAGGTCCAGGTGCATTTTAATCAAGGTGACCTAACGAGACTTTAGAAGGAGACATTAATTAGTTAGTAAATCTAATTCCTCTAACAGGCCTGTAGATACTTATCATGGATTTACTGTGAGCAAAACCTTGTGGGAGGTATAAATTGACCTCTGTCCATGTGGACCTTAAAACACAGAGAGAGAAGTCATGGATATTTAAATGAACAGATAACCAACACCATCCCCACCAAATGGTATCTGACAAATGAGTAGTTGGGGAAGTAAGTGCCATGGAATTCCTTTCCATTGATTCCCATTTATTAAACACAACGAGGGTCAGGAGTGTGCACTGTGGGTTAAACAAATATTTGTGAACTAGTCTTAGCAGAAATTCCTAAGTTCTAAATCTCATGGTCTAAGAAAATATTCATGGAGATAGTAGAGAAATTATAGTTTCATTGAATTTTCTCACTCTGTGTGATTGGTCACTTGGGATTTCTCATGCTGATTACAGGCTCTGAATTCATCATTGACCCTCTACCCATTTCCTGTGTTCCCTGTCTTGGTTAATGGCACCTCTGCCATCTCACTCTCCACACCCAATCACTAGGTCCCTTTCATCGATGGACGAAATAGAAGAGGCCTTTGCATGGACACACCTCACTCCTGATGTGGCCCTGCCTCCCCATCTGGCTTCAGGTCCAGCCTTGGCACCTGTCGCTCAAGCACTTGTACGTCTCAGGTTTCCTGATGAGGCAATGCTTCCTCACATGTCCGGGCAATCTACTGAGATCACCCTTCTCCTTGCTGTTGACCCCGACAAACCCTGCATACCTACAAATCGTTCAAGGCTCGGCACAAATAGTGCTCTCTATAAAGCCCCTCCTGACTCTGCCGAAAAGACTTGTAACTCATTGTATTATCGTTGTTTGTGTGCAGGGTCACTAATAGCACATATGAATCTTTTGGATTAATTAGACAAAGGTGTCTTGTAGTGTCCTGGAGAAGTGCAGCCCTGAGCCAGGGCTCATGGTTTGGCGAGCAGCGCCAAAGGTAGGCTGGATTTCCGTGCCTACTTGCCCCAGCCAGATCCTCTAGTACAGAGCACACACTGCACAACCTGTAGGGGGTCTTATTTGCCTGCATGTTTTCCTGCTAGAGGGTAAACTCCTTGTGGGCAGAGATCAGACTATTCATTCTCATCTACCAGGGGACAGCTCAATGCCTGGCATGCAGTATGAGCTCAGTAAGTGTTTGCTCAATGAATGAATGAATGAATGAAATATGATGCAAATTGAAAAATTAATTTTTCTTCACCAGGGCACTTTGTATGGGGACAACAAGCTTTCAAAATATGGGATCTTCAAGTGGGAAAATAATGAAAGAGGTTCTACAGCTGAAAGGGCTTGGGTGCTGCCTGAACACTCATGGGCCCTGAATTAGGGGGCCCTGGAGAACCCAAAGGAAGCCCCTCTTGGCCTACTCCTCAGCCCAGCTCCAGACCAACTGCTCCTTCCTCCTGCACGCCCTGACACCTAGAATGCAGGCGCACCTGAGTCCCTTAGGGGGAAGCCTGTGGACGCTCCCTCCGGTAAAATTTGGACTGGATAGGTAAATTTTAGGTCAGGAATACTCACATTTCCAAAGAAATCTTGACATTAAAAAGTGATATGTTCCAAGGTCTCTTAGGAATCTTCCAGAATGCATTTAAGTATTTGCTTTTGATTTATTAATTACTTGATGCAGAGGTGGGAATAGGAGTAAGGAAACCGAAGTCTGAAGGATTAGGCACCACTGCCAATTGAAAAAAAGAGAAAGTATTGATAAAACACTTTCTAAATTATAATGCAAATAACAAAAATTTATTAGATCCAAATACATTTTCTTTCTAGGACTACATCTGTTAAGGCAAAATGAGGCCCATGGTTTTCTCCATCTCTCTCAGCTTAATTTAAGATCCTGTTTGTAATTTCTTCTTTGTCTTATATTTTGAGTCCTTATAAGCTACCAAAAATCACTTCTGGGAAAATGGGGAATAAATTAATAAATAAATACACACACAGAAATACATTAATCAATTAATCGATTTATGAAAATTGAGATATAACTGTGATACTTCTGGCTTATTTGATTTGGATAAATGACTTGTCTATCTATAGGAAAGAAGAGAAGGTAAGCATGTGACCTCCTGGTTAACATTTAAAGAGTCCAGAAAACACCAAGAGATCTATTAAGTCAGACCAGATGTCTGGAGGGCTTTTAAATCTTGTTTATATTGACGCCAGCTTGATTTCCCAAGGATGGGTTTAGGCCTGCCTTCCTTGAGTGGTTCTGCTGCATAGATTTAAATGAGGTAAACTCGTTATAGCCTTAGTGTGGCTGGCTTTGAAAGATTCAAAAAATGTTCTTTTATTGAGACTGAATAACTGGATGTGCTTTTGCTGCCAATATCAACACAGTCCAAGGGCCCTCCTGTTATTTTCTGCTGGAGTTGTCTTAGGACATGGAATGGGGCGGGAGAGGGGGTGTGAAAGCCTCAGAGGATTGTGTTTTGTTTTGCTTTTTTTTTTTTTTCCTGTTCTTGGCTCTTACAGCAAGTTGATGGTAAATATTGGGCAAGTTATGTAACCACGCTATTCCTCAATTTCCTCATTAGCAATGCTGTCTTGTTTATAAGGAGTTTTGAAATGTTTGCAAGCACACAAAACGCTGGTGCAGATAGCCAGTGTAGATATCTAGTAGGTTTCTAGTCCACTTGATGTCTCTCCAATAGTGGAGGCCACCTACAACAGACTCACCTGGAGTGATGGTTAAAATGCAGATTCCTAGGCTCACCCCAAACTTCTGAACTGGAATTTCAGGGGGTGCCGCCGAAACTCTCCATCGTAAACCAGCTCCTTGGGTGATGCTGATGCCCTCCAGCATATCCCTCTGAGCATCTCTGCTTCCTGGTGAGCCTCAGAGAGAACCAGATGGTTTGACCACCTAAAAATCCCCTGGTATCTCCCAGAGTTTTCTGGACTGATCCAACCTGGACCATTTTCCCCAGAGCTGTTGCATGCTATGATTGTCATTCATTTAAAAAATATTTGAAGTTTTCTTTGCCAATCCCTGTCCTCAAAATGTATGTAATCTGGTAGGATGTTGAGGACTAGCAGTTCGTAGACAGGGTTGGGATGAAATTGACGCTCACACTTCCAAAAGTGAAAAAACAGAGCCGACAAGCATCAGTCTCTCTGCTTTCGATTTAATGTTGGACTTCCCCTAAGAACCCAAGGTTCAGGTCCTGTTCTTGATTTGGCCAGTGACTCAGCTTTGACCTTGGGAAAACTATTTAATCTTTCTGCACAGTTTCCCCCTCCACGATATATACTATCTCCATCCCCGTGAAACATTTTCTGGAGGAGCTGCTCAGTTTATTGAGAAGGCAAGTTCTGTTATGGTAACCAGCTGTTACGTAACCAGATGGCATTCAGGAAGCAGTGATAGCCTTACATTATGGATCAGTACTGGTGCTCGTGTCTTATGACGAAGAGGATCAGAAAAGGGTGTTCCTTTGTGTTGAGAACTGAATCTATAGAGAAAAGACTTCCCAGGCTTGTGGATTTACTGCATAAGAGACTACAGAAACTGCAAAGAGACATGCTGAGTTCCTGTTTCTCTGCTCAGAAAGCTGGGAGAATGAAAGGACACCTACTTGCTCCCAGCTTTGCCCCACTGCCTGCCCTTGATAAGGGTGGGCCTACTATGTCACGTTTATTACACTTGCCACCTTTTCTTGGATGGTTTTACTGCCTCGAGATGTGTAGTAGTTTTCTGTTGCTGCAACACAAATTACCACAAATTTAGCAGCTTAAAACAACATACAATTCTTGAATTACTGTTTGTGTGGGTCAGGAATCCAGGCACAGCTTGACTAGGTTAAGCTGGGTCTTTTGCTCAGCATCTCGCAGGCTGAAATCAAGGTGCCAGCTGGACGGCATTCTCACCTAGAGGCTCAGCTAGGGAAGGACGCACTTCCAGGCTCCCTTAGGTTGTGGGCAGAATTCATGCCTTGCCGCTGTAGGATTCATGGCAGCTTCCTTCTTCAATCCAGCAACAGTGAGAGTCTCTGACCCCAGATGCTTTCTTAATGGTCTCACCTAATTAGGTGAGGCCCACCCAGGATAATCTCCCCTTTTGAATTAATATAAAATTAACTGATTAGGGACTTTAATTACATCTGCAGCATACCTTCTCCTTTGCCATATTCCATTGGTTAGTAGTGAGTTACAGGTCCCACTCACCCTCAAGAGATGGGGATTACACAAAGGCATGGGTGATGGTGGGTCTTTTTAGAATTCTGCCTCCCGCAAGACCACAAGGAGTTAAAACTCAGCACTCAATATAAGTATGTGCAAGAGGTTAATTGGGGACTTCAAACATTCTGTTTATGAAGTCTCATTCCCACGTATGTGGCCTTTCGTTAATTCTTGATTCGCTGAAAATTAACCTGCGGTTAAGAGAAAGTATGTGGTTGTCAAGAGGGAAGGAACAGGCGTAACTAGGGTGTGATAGATACATTTTACCTAGAGTTGTATCCTGTCCTAAGCAAATAAAACATTAATTAGGGACTATTGCTTACCCAGAGGAAGAGTCATCTCGAATTCCTTTTATTTCCTAGTTCACCCAATATGATTCAGTTCACACAACAGAATTCACACATACCTGTTCAAGATCACAGCTATGTAAAATGAGTTCCTCCTTTAAGAAGAGTTGTCCCAAAAGTTGACCTATCACACTCCTTAATACATCAGCACTCCCAGAAGAAAAAAAAGGCCAAAGACCTTTATCAGGTATAAACAATAGAAATCACCCTTTCAACATGTTTCTTATAGCAACACACTGAAGAGAAAAAGAAAATGTGTCAGAAACGGAAGACAAGTAACCAGATTAACATTGCTCTGTAAATAAAATACATAAATAAAAATGTGAACAAGCTGGAAGAGATTAGTGGGAGATAATAAAAGAGTTAATCTCTTTATTTTGTAGTATTTGTACAAATAGTAGGAAATTCTAAAGTTTTAAAAGGTAAATGGACTTCACATTCATTAGGATGGCTATTAACAAGAAACAAAAAATAAGTGTTGGTAAGGATATAGAGAAATTGAAACCTTTGTGTACAGCTGGTGGGAATGTAAAATGGTTCCGCCACTATGGAAAACAGTATGGCAGTTCCTTAAAAAGTTAAAAATAGAATTACCATGGGGCCAGCCCTGTGGCGTCGTGGTTAAGTTCAGCACGCTCTGCTTCAGTGGTCCGGGTTCACGGGTTCAGATCCCAGGTGCACACCTACACCACTCAATCAGCCATGCTGTGGCAGTGTCCCATGTACAGAATAGATGAAGATGGCACAGATGTTCGTCAGGGCTAGTCTTCCTCAAGAAAATAAAAGAAGGAAGATTGGCAACAGATGTTAGCTCAGGGAGAATCTTCCTCAGCAAAAAACAACAACAACAAAAAAGAATTACCATATGATCCAGCAATTCCACTACCAGTTATATACCCCAAAGAATTGAAAGCAGGGACTCAAACAGATATTCGTACACCAATGTTCATAACAGCGTTATTTATAATAGCCAAAGGTAGAAACAACCCAAGCGTCCGTCAGTGGATGAATAAATTAACAAAATGTGCTGTGTACGTACAATGGAATGTTATTCAGCCTTAAAAAGAAAGCAAATTCTGACCCGTGGTACAACATGAATCTTGAAAACATTACGCTCAGTGAAATAAGCCAGTCACAAAGGACAAGCATTATGTGATTCCACGTATATGAGGTACCTGGTGTAGTCAAAATCAGAGAGAGAGAAAACAGAGTGGTGGTTGCAAGGATAGGGGGAGATGCGAGTTCGTGTTCAGTGGGTGCAGAGTTTCGGTTTGGGGATGCACTAGTTCTGGAGATGGATGGTGGTGATGGTTGCAGAACAACGTGAGTGTACTTAATGCCACCGAACTGTGAATTTAAAAGTGTTTAATAAGCTAAATTTTATGTGATGTGTGTTTTATCACAATAAAAATTCTTTTAAAGAAAAGATAAATAGGCAAAGGAGCTGAACATGTAGATCACAAACAAAGAATTGTAACAAGCAAGCTGACTTGGGGGGAGATCCTGACCCTTGTTGGTAACCAAAGAAATGGAAACTTACAAATGTCTTTTAAAAGAAGTACCATCTTTGAGTCTAGTGGGATAATGAATGTCGTGTGTAACACACAAAGTCTGGAATATAATTATGTTCCAAACATATTTCACCTCTCTTCTTCTTCCTTGACTTTCCTTAGAATGGAGATGAAGTCTTCATTGGATATTTCTATTCCAATGTTTCACACAAGATAGATTTTAAACCATTCCTAGGACTGTCTTTAAGTATGCTAGTTCAGTTTTTTTAAAATAAAGTGTTTTCCTTGAGGCCCAAGTTGAAGTTCCAGTGTTAGGAAGGTATAATAAGAATTATATTAAATGCAATTCTGAAATGTGTATTATATTTTTAAAAAGTGTTCGGCTGTGAAGATTAATTAAATGATTTCCCCCCATATATTCCAGAGTTTGTAATAAGAAGAGTCATAAACTCTGAGCCAGTATCATCTGTGTCCTAAAACTGGTATTCTTATAATGGTATAGCAGAGCCCTTTCGCATCCCTGTTTCTAATAAGCCATGTGGCCACACACCTGCTTTATTATCTCTTTGTTATCTCATAGTTTCCATGGGGCATTATTATCTTTTGGCATTTTAATGAAGGCAATTAAAGTAAATCTCTTTGATGGTAATTAAGTGTAGCTTACAGTACACCCCTTGTTAATTGGTCAGACACTATGAGCCAGGCATTGCATTAAGCATGTTTCTGTTATTTCATTTAATCCTCTCATCCTCTGAGACAAATGGTATTATTCCCATTTTGCAGGTGAGAAATTGAGGCTCAGTTTTAGTAACTCACTCCAGATCACACAGCTGGTTGGTAGAGCCGGACTTCAAACCCAAGTGTGTCCGACTCCACACCTCGATCCTCCCATGATGCTCCCTCCATCTAGGAATACAGCTCTGTTTACTTCATAAGTAGTAAAGTGACGTATAAGAAGGAAACTTTAAACATGTGACTTTGTCGCAATAGTCCGTTAATAATCATAGCCCTTAAAAATTTCATATTAATTCAGGAGCATTTTTTAAAGTCAAAGTTATTTAGCTCCCACAAACAAGCTGTTGTACGTTCAGAGTAAATGCTTCCCATTCCATGTCAAAAGTGCAGATTTACTTCCTGATAAGATGTACTATTTAGAGACTGTCTGTTTTTTATTGTGATTCGGGTGGAAATAACAGGAAAGCATATTTTCTTCCTGTCTTGGCAAAAGGGGGAGCATTTCTAAAAAAGAATACTTAATGTAATGATTTAAATGGCCATTATTTTGCATTATGAATTAGGAGAAAGCAGACTATAGGATTCAAAGAAGCAACAATGGTCTACTGACTTCGACAGGGAAGTCCAGCCAGGGAATTTCCCAGGACTCTACGCCAGGAGGCGGGTCTCCAGAGACACTTGGTGCTCTTCTTTGCCCAACAAAATGAAAAAATTCAAAACCATAGATGATCAGAGAGACTTCTGGACACATGGCAACTCTGAAAATGAACCCCTTTGCAAGAGCTTATATTCACATCTTGTTTTTAGAAAAAAATCCAACATCAAAAGAGAAACAAAAAAACCCAAACTTGCCTTTGTAATTCTTGGACAACTAAAGAAATAGTAATATGTGTGTAATATGGATTGTAAATGGTCATGAAAATGTAAAGAAAATATTTTTTAAATATCCCGTTTTCCTTAGAGAAATTCGATTCTAAATTTTTTAAGTCAAAGTGTTTTCAAGTTTTTTCCAAAAGGAGTGTGAAAATTGGCCACAAATCAATTTGACTATGAAAGACCAGCATGCACGCACACACACACACACACACACACACACACACACACAATCTTGTTTGGCTCACAGCATCTAAACTATGTACTGATTCTGTTTGCAGAGCTCACACTTGTTTCAACCGTCTGGATCTCCCCCCGTACCCATCCTTCTCCATGCTTTATGAAAAACTCTTGACAGCAGTCGAAGAGACCAGTACCTTTGGACTTGAGTGACCTGGACACACAATGCCCAGCTCCGGATGGACAGGCGATGTCAGGAGCTGCCCTCTAGAAGAATGGCTGACCATGGGAAGTTTCAAGAGTACACTTCCGTTAGAGTAAAGCTGAGTGCTGTTACCTTCTAGGAACACGTGCTCTGTCTCATTTGGGGGCTGGATAGTGGTGATGGGTCCTCCTGGAAGGATTTGGGTGAGCTTGATGCCCAGGGAACAACCCAACAGTCTTTCAATCAACAGTTCTTGACTGCCAAACTTTTTCCATTTGTTTCGTTCCAAGACAAAGATGGACCTCTACACGATCAGCTCCATGGTCACTTTGAGGGACTCAGGAGAATCTTGAAACTTAATCTTTGAACGTGGTTCAAGCCAAACTGGCAGCACTTGGCCCAATCTCCAAATTAGTGCAAGTTAAATAATATAATAAAAACAAATATATTTCCTGAAAGTATATTCATTTAAGCCCTAAATTATAACAATATTCATTTTCTTGCTTATGAGTGCCTGCATGGTGTGCACCATAGGTTTCAGCTTTCAAGGAACATGAGTGAAAATGAAACCAAGTCAATATGAGGTAACTTTAAAGATTTGCAATAAGGTGGTCTGTGACAATGTATATGCAAAGTGATATGTATGTAATTTTGGCTGAAGACAAACTGTTATACAATGAATTACTAATGACAGAGTTTATGCTTTATAATGCATGAAAACAATTTTAAAATAACTAGCAATTAATCACAGCATATCAGGAAAAAGTACACAGTGAGTTTTGTTTATTTTTTATAGGTTCCTTATGTTCTTTAAGATGTATATAAGAACCTACCTATCATCCTGTATGTATCACCTGTTCCATTTTCACGTTCCATGCTTACTCGGGCATCATGCTAGTACGTATCCTTTTAAGCACTCTCCAGGGAACAAAAGGGCCTTTTATTTTTATAAAGGTACAAAAAATTTCCCCGAAATATTTTGCACTGAATGTACCAAAGTTGAAGGGACAATACAATATGGCTAAAAGCAATTCCATCACTTGACAAGTATAATAGAAAACAGCTTCTAAATCAATCTTCCTTCACAGTGCCATGTCTACACTACAAGGACTGTGCATCTAAGTAATAATTTTTTAAGACTCACTATATGTGATAGTATGATGTGCATTTATTTAAAATGCATTAGACTCTCTTCCATCCATCAAATACTTTACAGGATGGCATTTAATACAGATATTTCGTATTTCCCCCACTGCTTTTTATTTGTACAGCATCATGAAACACTAAGCTCAGTTATGGAGCCATCTGCAACACCCAAGATCAGCTCTCTTTAGTAATAAAAATTCCATTTTCCCTTATCAGTGAAGACATCACAAATTGAAACTCTCAGTCCTATATTTCTAAGCTTGCATTTTCACTGATGCATAATTTTCTTATCAATGTTGAGAAACAATTTTTCTATGGTATCTCAGAAACTGCATGACATCGCTAATGTTGTTTCCGCTCAGTTTTATCAGAGGGTGTCCTTCATTTTTATTGTTTTGGGGGTTCCTCCACATCACTGTTTATTTCTTGACTTATGGCCATAACTAATCAGATGTTCAACAGAGTAAAGTTAAATTGTGGGTAATAAAAGCCTTGGATTAACATTTGGTTTGCCAGCCTCTGGTTTTACAGGCATTGCCCAACCACTTCTTTGAGAATTATATTTATGAGTAGCCATGGAATTCCTATTATGGGATGTTGGCAAGCTTACACTTTATAGAGGTCATATGCATGGTTTTCATAGGTGGTTGTAAGAACTGATTGCTCTCCTGTTGGTTAAGCTATGTTTACTATCGGGACCCTCAAGAGGAATACCACTCGTGTTGCATTCCTGCACGAAAGGCAGATACTGAAGTGTGGGGAAATGTTCCGAAAAAAATGGTTACAGAAATCTGGAAATAAGAAAGGAAGATTTATCTGTGCACTGTAATGGAACCATAAGAAAAGTGAAGAGAAAAAACAACTTTAATTGGAAATGTTAGTTTGTACTTACTGATCATGAATGTAAGTATATATTTAATTTTGTAAACTATTTTTACTTGTTTGCATTTTTTTCATTATCAGGAAAAATAATGTAATATACTTTTTTAAAAAATACATTTTTGATGGTATCTAAGATGTTTCAGAGCTAGCATTCTCTAAGCAGCTGATATAGAAGGTTGCGTTTCTTTCAAAAATACATTCATAGACCATGTTAGCCTTCATTTCGGTTTGTGATACTTTGTTACCATAACCCACATTGTTAGGTAAAAGAGATTTGAAATAAAACGTGTCTGTAATTATTTCTAACAAATATAGTTCTTTGCTGAGGCATTGAACTTCCCAAATAACAGTGTAATCGTTTCGTTGCCACTGTTCTCCGAATTGGGAATTATCAAAGATGTACTTAGCGTATCAGATCACCATCATACCTGATCTATTATTCTTCATTGGTGAAACAAAAAAATCCAATAGTAACTATATAAAATATTGAATAGCATTTCCACAGACTAAATTAGACTTTAATGTCCTCTACAAATAGAAATATCCATAAATATTTTCTTCTGGACTGTGGACCTAGATAACTTGGCTGTATGGTCTTGTCTTGTTTAAGAAATTCATAAGTGATGCTTATGCTCTACTGTCTTATAGTCTAAAAGACAGTCATGATACATCATATATGTTTGCAGAAAGTCTCTTAAATGAGAGAAGAGACACGTTATTGGCATTCACTCTGTGCCAGCCACTGTGTTTGATGATGGAACTACAAGATTCAAAATCTCCCCTTGAGAAGCTCACAGTCTAGTGGAGTAGACACCAGGGTTCAAAAAAGTATTTTCCGTAAAATTTGATATGTTCTACAATCAAGGAATGAGGAAAGAACATCTCGCTCCGTCTGGGAGATCCACTGAAGGCTTTATATATGAGAGATACTGTGGCAAAAAAAAAAAAAAATCCAAAACATAAATGCCCTTTCTGTCGGTAACTAATGACATGTGTGTCGATACTGATCAAGTGTTGAAGCCCAAGGTGCATTTACAGACGAGGGTTTAAAGTGTGCAGGGGGGAGCTGAACCACGAAGGAGCAACTCAGGATCTTCAAATTATCAAAGAAATGCCAAAATTAAGTTTAGCAGTTTCCCTGTTTCCTTTCGTCTGCTCTGCAGTGTACCTTCAGTTTTCAGTGTGAAAAATCCCAGTCTTTGAGCCCACCCCACTTCTGGGGTCAGATTTTCTTGTGCACAAAATGAATGGATCTTGGTTAAAGAAGTACGGTATCAATTTTCTAGCATATGTTGTGTTTATAATTTAGTAGAAATTTTGTAATAAATGAAGGAAAATCTGCTTCACCTGCATAACAATCAGAAGTGGTAAAACTACATTCAGATGATTGACAGTAATGGTAGCATATGTTTGTATAACGCTTTAGAGGTCAAAGTGCTTTCAGGTGCATCGTCTCTTGCTCCGCACGTGCTTTGTAGGGCAAAAGGTATCAAGTCCCGTTTGAGTTGAGGCTGATTTTCCTGGATGGCTGTGAGATCAGTTTCAGTACTTTATAGTGACAATTCTAGGTTTCATCTCTAGAAATGTGGAGACTAATGTTTCTACCATCATATTCCACGTACAGTGAATTTTGCAAGATGCTTCATCTACCCAAACTCTCATTTTTTCAAACGCTCTTAAGAAGTGACACCCTCTGAAAAGTCCATGAAGAAATTAGCATATTCATGGAAAAACTCCTCATAGACTTAATACTTGCATTTTACCACTTGTTATGGGAAATTAAAAATGGAATACAAAATTTGATGGTTTTTCATGGATTTATATAGTGTAGTCGTTTAGTTTTCTCAAATATTATTTGGAAGCAAAATAATGAAAACACTTTAATCAGAAGCCTTATTTCGTTTAATTTTTAATAAGGATGGATTCTAGAAAGTCCTAATAGCTGAGTTCCAGGGATGTGGATGAAGGAACCACTGCACGTTCTCTTTTCCACTCTGTCCTCCTCACATTCGTCCATTTTCTTTCTTTCTTTCTTTCTTTCTTTCTTTCTGCACAAATTGTGCTTACGATTTGACCACTTCTAACTAAGGCAAACATCTTATAATGAAGAGTCCAAAAGTCTTTCCAATTTAACCCCATTCAGGAAATGCCCAAGGCAGGTGAAATGATGCTATACCATCACTAAAAGGTCCCTGTAACCCCGCATAGTGAAAACATGCAAATGAAGAATGTGGCCCAATCCCAAACTGAGTCTGAGTTTCAGGCCCTTTTGTTCTCTCTTAGCTGCTTTCTGATCTAGTTGACAAGTGAAAACACTGGATCATTGACACCTTCCTTCCATAAAATTTGAGTTTAAATGAATGAGAATGTCACTATTAATTGCTAAGTTTGCAAAACCTATTACCTTTCTAGTTTGTGTTCTCCAGATAGATTTTTTTTGTCTCTCACGAAGGCAAAGGAATGCCAGAGACAGGAAAGCTTTCTCAGTTGTGGCTTAAGGCCAATGCTGTCCACCAGAAGGCTGATAAACACAAAAAGCAGAGCTGGGGAGCCCAGCAGTTGTGCCTCCCCCGGAGAATGTAATGCTAATTATTGACCAACTGTCAAGATTCAGGAGGTAACTGCATTCCGAGGGGCTGGCACAAGGTACAGAGTGAGTGTGTGTGAGGGACCCATATCACAGCTGTCTGGGCCAGAAGGGGTACAGGGATGGTAAAGACAGGACTGTAGCAGCGGGAAAGTTAAAACAAGGGTGGAAGGATCATCTTAGGGCTTGCTGGTAGGGGTAGGAACCTACACTTCAATTTGGTTTCTGACTGAGAAGAGGATGCCGTGCTGCCCAATGAGGGCATTCATTGCCTAATAATCTACCTGGTAGGAAATACCCTCATTTTATAACTTCAGAAGATTGATAACATTTTCTGTATTGCAAAACAGAATTTAGTCCCGAAATATTAAAGCTAACCACAGCTTAATCAGGAGATTCGACAGTTTAGCAATAAATTATGTTGTGGATTCTTTTTAACTTAAGAATTATTGTTACTATTATTGAACTTTGTATGTGAAATAAAGGAGGGGGGGTTGCCTGACATATTTATTATGCTTAATTTGTTTTTTTAGCAGACATTCATCGACATTAGAATAGCTTTTGGGACGTTTTCATGGTTTCTAATGGTAACTTCAATGTTCCCTGTTAATCTAGAAAGCTAACACCTAAGAATCAGGTTACTGAATTGCAAATGGAGACCTAATCAGGGTTTCCAATTTTTCAGGACGTTAATCAAGACTGAAAACACGTTTGCTTAGATTTAATCTGCAAGGTAGTTTATTTGGCTTCCGTGATCCAACAGATCAGCAGAATTGGAAGGCCCTAGTTGTGTGGTTTCTGAGGAACACCGAAAATTAAATTTATATGTGATTTTTTTTACATCTTGTGGCCTTGGGCAGGTGATATGTTTCTATCCAACTTTCTTTTGAGGTATTACAACCCTGAGGCGTGTTGATAGGTATGTTGTATGATTCAAACTGAATTAGCTCTTACTGATGTGGGGAAGGAACCATCAGTAAACTTCTGGTTACTATCACCTTCTGTAAACAAAGGATGGGTAATGTTCAAGACATACCTGGGAAGGATTAACCAGGAAACATACAGAACTGAATGTTCTTTTAGGACCTTAATGCTCTAAAAGATGTTATTACAGCCTATTTTTCTTTCTATGGTCTCGTAAATAAAATCTGAGGCTGTTAATATGTTGGAAAGTGCATAAGATGACATGTTTTTATAATAGGGATGCAGGCATTCCAAAATAAATAAATAAAAATACATGCATCTCTCTCGCCTCTTACTGAAAGTATTAATCTAATTTTATAATAATGCTTACTTTTTAATATTAAGGCTCTGTAAAAAAAAAACTCATTTATTTCTAAGATTTCAGCAGAGCACAGGTGGTGTATTTTTTTAAGCCTTTCCATTTCTTTTCACCAACTCCACCCATTGTGTGTCTACACCATGTATCACAGTTAAAAGCTTTGTTTTTATTTTTGTTGAGTTGATTTAGGTGTCATCTTTATTCAGTATGATTTTTAACAGAGAATAATAATGGGAGGTATTTGCTATTTGGCATTAAGATTATACAGCTCTCATTTCACCTGATATTTAAATTTCATCTTTTTTTTTTTTTCAAAGGAAATAATGCAGATTGTTGACATCCTGGAAATGATTTGTGGGTGGTATTAAATGGACCCTGGGACTTTGAAATGTATACTAGTTGTTTGTTTTCTGGAAAGTCTGTATTCTTATCCTCACCTGAACCCCTGACTTTTGTGTTGTATTTTTTTATGATTCCAAAATGCTTTGAGGGAAAGATATTTTAATGTGTACAATTTGTTTTATTTTCATACTGATCTCTATTTTTGTTTAAAACCATGTTGCATCATGAAATCACTTAATCCAAAATAAATCTTCTTTAAAAAAATATGTTCTGACTTTTCTGTGACACGTTTGGGGAAGAAAAAACCCAAAAGGAAAGAAAATAAAGTAGGGATACAGGTCTCATGGGATTGGTATTCAGCTTTGTAGATACAGGAAGTTCTCTTTTCATAATAGTTGTAATTAGAAATCTATTTAGTTTATCTCTAAAAGGATATTTTACTGTTTGATAGGCCACCAATTCATGATGAAGAAATGAATTAACACAAATCACAATCTCTTAACTCACTTGGGTTGGACTATTTGTTAAGCCATCTTGGTTGAATGCTTACTTCATAGACACATATGCACACCACAACTACCACCCACACCAGTCTAATCCAGGGCTCACATATTCACAAGCCTACAGGGGCCAAGTAGTATTTAATGAGTGAAACTGGCTGGGTGTAAGCAAAAGAGAGTGGTGGGATTTACCTAAAGGGGGCATTCTAATATTTGGCTCCCGCAGATCCTAGTCACATGAAATTCAGGTCTACTGTTGAAAAATCTCAGTTATCAAGAGAAACCCAGAAATTTAAATTTTTATGTGGTATTTCTATATCTTTTTAATCTAGGTGGATCAAAGTAAACATGTCTATAGGTTGAATTTGCCTTGCAGTCCACCAGTTTGGAACCTTTGATTTAATCAATAACATTATCTTTTATACTTTAGTGGGAGCGTAAATGAATTGACCAAATAAATAAAATATTACTGAGACATGGGAGTTAATAGGAAGCGATGGGGAAAGGAGAAAGGCAAATATATGAGGGCAGACAGTCACTAAATGGTGTGCTTGAAAATGATCTGTGCTTACCAGTATCTTTCTGAAAACCACCCCATGTTAATTCATATGAGTTAAGAGGATCCCTGTCAAGATTTCATGGGACAGATGTGCCATTAAATTCTTTATTCTGTCTTTTAGACCAGAAAAGAATTTCATATATCACATCACAGCAGTTAAAGCAAAGGCTCGTCCTCTATAACTGACCAAAGTTAGACATTGTTGTTGAAAGGGAAGAGCAAGAGATTGCATCCATGGCACTGACTTCCTGGTTTTTGTATCATAACATTCCCTCTATAACCTTTGGCCTCAATGTGCTTTTATTATGATAAATTTATCTGTCTTCATTATATTCTTTTGATAAAACCTGAAACCCATTTAATTAGTGAATGTTTTAGCAATGCATAATTCCCGCTATCCTGCTAATCGCCCCCAGGAAGTCTTTCTTGATGTTTTTTCATTTCATCCTTTAACCAAAAAGCATTTAACTTCTTTATCAAGGAATGGAAAAGAGCTTTTTCTTCATACTTTCCTCTTTTTCTTGATCAAAAATGTTTACCTATTAATGGCTCTTTTCCTTCTAAATAGATACTTCCTTCTAAATAGATCCTAGGTTGACTAGTATTCCATTTGTCAACCAAAGTGAACTTTGGAATCAGGACAATAAATTGAAACAAGAACATCTGATAAAGATATAATGTTTACATTGATAGAAATGAGTTTCACACATTTTATTTGCCCCGTTATTATAGGTCCTCTCAAAAGATTTTTAGTCACTGCATGTTCATTTAGAAAGGAAAAACAATTTTCCAAAGAACAAATCATTGGAACAGTATATATTTCTTTGACTATTTATAATAACGTTACAAAATACTACCTCTTGCTACACAAAATACTTGGGTAGTGTAATGATTCATGTCTAGTTGGTATTCAGTTGGCACTGGAAGATGGACCCCAAATCCAAATTCTTGAACCTTGTTTTGACATTGCCAACACATCCCTCTCCCTGCCTCCACCCCCAAATTAAATTCCTGAGCTCAAAGCCAAGACCTGCTTTTTATTACTATCAGGCTTTTGCCCCAATGTGCAATGCAATCTCCTTTGAATTCAATTAAACCCTATGTAGGATATCTTTTGCAGTAAGTAGAGTCAGTTCCAAAGAGATCAAAAGAGGTCAAGAGGCTTCCTACACCTATTTCTTCCTAAACCCACACTCAAAGCTTGATTCTTTTCATTTTATGTAGAGGGAAAGGCAAGTTCTCAGAAGACAAAGCCAGCCAATAAAGAGAAGTAAGAGAATATGTTGATATATGAATCTGGATACATAGTATATGAATCTGGAGCTGGTCCAGATTGCCCATTCTACGATTCTCAGGACAGAGTAGACTCTCAATGGAAACTACTACTGATGTATCCAGAAAAACAGGAAAGCCCAAAAACTAGATGGCCAGATCTGACCAAGTCTGGGCAGCTCCCATTACCTTCCAGCCTCATGGCCTGGAAATGCAAGAGAAATCTCAAGTGATGAAATTCCAAAAGGGAACGAGACCCACATCTGGGTTCCTGAAACTGACCAATCCAGACTAGCAATTCTTTTTTTGGGATGGAGTGAGGGAGAATGGGGAAGACCTATACATTTCTCCGGAGGCAAATTCTATTCTTGAATGATTGGTTTCCAAGAACAAAACAACAAAATAAACTGTTTTTAACTGTTGCCTAAACAATTATTCACCAGTTAGTGATAATTTACTCTTACTCCAATTTCTATTAGGAAGTCATGTCAACATTTCTTAAATGTTGCATCAAATCACCAATAGTGATAGAGGACCCTCCAAATATGGAAATGTAGCTTGAAGCTAGCCCTAGCAATACAAAATTATTTGTATGCTTCATTTACTTTTAAGTAAAACTTACATATATCATCAAACTTGGTTTTAATTTGAAAAGAGAAATTATTCCCCTTTAGCGTTAAATAACAACTGGTCCCTGACTCTCCAAATATTAAATTTACTGGTCCAGTAAGATAGCACTTTGATTTTGCCTGTTCCTTCGCTGGATGCTGTGTACCCTGGGCTGTGCACTCGCTGGTTTGAAAAGCAATGTCCAGATCATCAGATCCTCTTCCTTGTACAATGCCAATGATGATTTGGAGCTAAAATGTTTGGGTTTGTTTTCTCTCAGCTGCAATTAACCTGTCTGTTATATCACTCATAACAATGTTTAAGGAGGAATGAAGATAACAGGCTGTCTGAATCTTGGAACCAAGCAGGAATGCCAATAGCTTTGTGGCTGGAGTGTATGTACAGATCTTTTCTAACTAGCCACACAGTTTGGGTGTGGTGGTGGTTGAACACGTACACGCTAGTAAACTAATGTTTCCTAGCTGACTTTGACCTGTCTTGAGCTAAGGCCCTTAGTTAAAACATAAAATCGTATTTCAAAAATTAGCCTTACTCCTTGGAGAAAGGGCTGATTCTAGGAAATATACAAGATGAGCCTGAAGCATCTTGTGGTGCTGGAAAGTAAGGAAGTACTTTTAAAGAAGAAAGCCCCAATGATGGGAGTATGTCAAAGGGATACAGGAGCAACTGAAAGATCTCTACTAGCCAAAGCTAGACAATTTGAGCAACAAAATAAAGTAGTATCAGATTATAACACAAAATATAAAATAAATATCCATGTGTCCTTATTGATAAATAAACGATTGAAAATTTAATAAATAAAGAAGAGACAAATCTTCCGTGCAGAAGAATTCAAGTAATGTATGTAGGTGCTCCACCCTTAAATGTGGGATGTCCACAGTGACTTCCTTCCAAAGACCACAGCGCAGAATGGGGGAGGGGAGAAGAGTAACTTTACAGTGAAGAAACCTGACAAACCCTACCTCAGCCAGATCGAGGTCAATATCAACAGTCATAAATCATGTGGATAGGATGTTCCTGTATATGATGTGATAAAAAAGGCACTTTACCTCTCTGGTCTTCCTCCCCAAATCCATAACCCCAGTTCAACTATGAGAAAAACAGACAAATTCCGATATAGGAGCATTCTACAAATTATCTGATCTGGACGCTTCAAAACTATCAAGGTCATCAAAATGAAGAAAAATCGGAGAAACACAGAAACAGTCACAGTCAAGAGGAGCTTAATAAGACATAATGACTAAGTGTCAGGTGGTATCCTAGATAGGATCCTGGAATGGAAAAAGGACATTAGGTAAATAGAAAGGAAACCTCAATAAAGCATGAACTTTAGTTACTAATATTGTATCACTGTCATACAAGCTCACCTACCATTCTTGCTATATTAATAAAAAGGATGTTGAGGGGCCAGCCCCATGGCTTAGTGGTTAAGTTCATGTGCTCTGCTTGGCAGCCCAGGGCTCTGCTGCTTCAGATCCTGGGTATGGACCTAGCACTGCTCATCAAGCCACACCGAGGCAGCATCTCACATAGCAGAGCCAGAAGGACCTACAACCAGAATATACAACTATGTACTGGGGGGGCTTTGGGGAGAAGAAGAAAAAAAGAAGATTGGCAACAGATGTTAGCTCAGGCGCCAATCTTTAAAAAAAAAAAAAAGCAAAACCATAGGATATTGATGAGAACCTGAGGGCTTTTGTTGGATAAAAAGTTGAAAATGCCCGTTATAGAGAATGGTGAGGAGCAGTAGCTTTCCCACCTGGGTGTCGTGTGGCAATAAAATTCAGCCCCATAAACAACCCAAAAGAAAAAATTTAGTTGGTGGGGACAGAGGAATGGCTTAGCTTGTGAGCTTTACATGTAACATTTACTTACAACAATTAGCAATTATCTTCCACTCTTATCATTGTTATATAAAACGGAATAAATTTTTTTAACTCCTACCAGAAAAGAAGGGCAATCTCAGAATAAAGAACTATCCTTTAAATAAATTAATCTTTATTCATAATCAGGTTGGATTCTGTTATTTACAATCCAACAGTCCTAACTATTGCATTCTCTAAAGTATGAAGCACTATGTCTGGCAGACAGAAAGTGCTCGTAATATGGTGACTGTGGTGTCAAAATGTGATGTCTGACATCTGACCTCCTACATGAGGCGGGCACTTCCTTACCTAAAAGAGTCCTGCTCTGGGGTTCAAAACGTGGACTGGCGTGGATGAGGCCTTATTCACCCGTCTGTTGGAAGTCTCTGGGGCTTTGACCAAAGAGGGGAAAGTTCTCTCTCATGCTGTGACCCATTTCT